ATCACCACCACTGCCACCCACCACCCAACATCATCACCACCATCCACCATCGCCAACCAGGACTATCATCTACCACCACCACCCACCATCACTATTCACCTCCACCACCCATCACTACCACCTGCCACTACCACCACCCACCATCCATCACCACCACCACCCATCACCACCGACCACAACCACCCGCCACCATCACCCCCACCCACCACCCTCCATCATCATCACCACCACTACAACTATCACCCACCCACCTCTACCACCCATCATTACCACCTAGCCACTACCAATCATTATGACCACGACCCGCCACTACCACCAACCACCACCTACCACCCATCACCACCACTCTCTACCACTCTCCACCACCCACCACCACCATCCTTCACCACCGGCCACCACCACCCATCACCACCACCCGCCCCCATCATCCCGACCCACCAAAACCACCACCCGCCCACCTCCACCACCCATCACTACCACCCACCTACTACCCACCATTATGACCACCACCAGTGACTACCACCAACCACCACCCACCACCCATCACCATCACCCATCTCCACCACCCATCACCATCACCCACCTCCACCACCCCACCACCACCACCCATCACCACCGACCACCACCCCCATTTCCACCAACCACCACCCACCACCCATCACCACCATCCGTCTCCACCCCCCCCCATCACCACCACCCACCTCCACCACCCCCTACCACCACCACCCATCACCACCGACCACCACCACCTATCACCACTACCCGCCACCATCACCTCCATCCACCACCCACCAAGACCATTGACCACCGACCACCACCCATCACCACCACATATCACCTTCACCCGTCTCCACCACCCATCACCACCGCTCGCCACCGACACCTGCCACCCACTATAATCACAACCCCACATGTCACCCCCACCACCCTTCACCACCAAACATCACTACACATCACCACCACCCATCACCATCACCCGTGATTATGTCTATATAATCGCATGTAATTATTTGTATTTAATCACATATGATTTATATGGACAATATTCTTTTTAATCCATATAAATCATGTGATTAGATACATATAATAACATGTGATTACATATATTTAATCAAATGTGATTAGATTTATTTAATCATATATGTCGTTATTGTGTTCTCGATTCAATAATTATTTTTGTCAACTTTAATCATATCTGATTAGATACATATAATCACATGTGATTATATGTATCCAATCACATATGATTTATATCAACAATATTCATTTTTTAGTTTTCGTTTCAATAATTTTTCTCATATATTTAATCACATGTGATTATAAGTATTTAATCACATATGATTTAATGTGGACATAAATTTGTTTTAATGTTCTTGATTCAATAGTTGTTCTCGTGTATATAATTACATGTGATTATATATATTTCATCACATATGATTTAGTGATTCAAGAACGTTAAAACAAATCCTTTTCACATAAATCGTATGTGTTTAAATACAAGAGACCAATTATTGAATTAAAAACACGAAAATGAATATTGTCCACATAAATCATATGTGATTATATGTACCTAATCGCATATGATTTATGTGGACAAGATTTATTATTTCTTACCCAATTCAATAGTTGTACTCATGTACTTAATCACATGTGAGTATATGTATCAAATCACATATGATTTACATTGATAATATTCGTTTTTGCATTTTTGATTCCATATTTTTTCTTATGTATTTACTCATATGTGATTGTATGTATTAATCACATATGATTAATGTGGAAAAGGAAAAACTATTTAATCAAAAACGCAAAAATGAATCTTGTGTACAGAAATCATATGTGACTAAATGTACAAGAACAACTATTGAACGAGAATGCGAAAATGAATATTGTCCATATAAATCATATCTGATTAGATACATATAATCTTATGTAATTAAACACACAAGAAAAACAACTGAATCGAGAACGCGAAAATGAATATTTTCCACATAAATTCTATGTGATTAGATACATATAATCACATGTGATTATATGCATTTAATCACATATGATATATGTGGACAATATTTATCTTTTTGTTCTCGATTCAGTAGTTGTTCTCATGTATATAATCATATGTGATTATATGTATCTAATCACATTTGGTTTATATAGACATCATTATTTTTTGTCCATGTAAATCATATGTGATTAGATACATATAATCATATATAATTATATGTATTTAATCACATATGATTACAGTGGACAGAACAATTACCGAATTGAGAATGTGACAATGAATCTCATCCACATAAATAATATATGATTGGATACATATAATCACATGTGATTATATGTATTTAATCAAATATGATTTATGTAGACAATACTTATTTTTGCGGTTTCGACTGAATAATTGCTTTTTTTCATTTAATCACATGTGATTATATGTATATAATCATATGTGATTAGAAACATATAATCACATCTGATTAAATGTATTTAATCACATATGATTAAAGCGGAAAAAGAAAACAATTATTGAATCGAGAACGCGAAAATAAAATCTTAGCCACATAAATCATATGTGATTAGATACACATAATCACATGTTATTATATGTATCTAATCGCATATGATTTATGTGGACAATATTCATTTTCGTGTTCTCGATTCAATAGTTGTTCTCGTGTATTTAATCAAATGTGATTATACATATCTAATCACATATGATTTATGTGAATAAGATTCAAATTCGTGTTCTTAATTCAATAGTTGTTATCATGTATTTAATCATATATTATTTTATGTATTTAATCACTTACGATTAATATGGACAAAGAACAACTATTGAATCGATAACACAAAAAATGAATCTTGTGCATATAAGTCATATGTGATTATATCATATAATCACATATGATTAAATACACCACCACCACCACCACCCATCACCATTACCCCACTCACCACCCACCACCATCACCACCACCCACCAACATCATCTTCAGGTACCACAATCACCACCTACCATCACCATCACCACCAAACATCACCGCATGCCACCACCACCCGCCATCACTCACCCATCAACACCACCACCATCGACCCACCCACCACCCACCATTACCACCACCCCACCACTACCCACCTACTACCACCACCCGTCACCACCACACCCCCACCTTCACCACCCATCACCACCTCACGACCAACATCCACTCCGTACAACCATTAACAGTGTATGTGATTAAATACATATAATCACATGTGATTATATGTATCTAATCACATATGAATTATATAAATAAGAGTTGTTAAAAAAATATTTTCAAAACTAACCACATATGATTAAATATATATATTCACCTACGATTAAATCATATTTGATTAGATACATATAATCACATGTGAATAGATTTATTTAATCACATATCATTAAATTTGACAAAGAACAATTATTGAATTGATAATGTGACAATGAATCTTCTCCACAAAGATCATATGTGATTGGATACATATAATCACATGTGATTATATATATTTAATCAAATATAATTTGTGTGGACAATATTTATTTTCGTGGTTTTGATGCAATAATTGGTCTCATGTATTTTATCACATGTGATTATATGTATTTAATCACATATGATTTATGTGGATAAGATTTGTTTTTGCGTCCTTGATTCTCATGTATTTAATCATATATGATTAATGTGGACAAGATTCGTTTTTGTTCGTATAAATCTTATGTGATTAAATACATATAATCACATGTGATTATATACAAAAAAACAACTATTGAATCGATTCAATAAATATTCATATATGCACATAAATCACATGTGATTAAATACATCTGATCATGTGGTTAAATACATCTAATCACATGTGATTGAATACAACTGAATGTATTAATTAGATATAATGGATCCAAGATACATTTTTCTTCGAACTCGACCAATAATAGATTTTTTTTATCATGTTAATGTAAAGTACATAACAAAACTAACTAATAAAGATAAATAGAACAAAATATTGATTAACGCAAACTTTTTTCCTAATAACTAATTATGACAAGAAAATTGATGGGCAATGAACAACTGACACGATTATGTTTTAATAGCATTTTTGTAATTGTTTTGCATTATATGAAAATTGTAATTTAAGGATTATCTTTATCAATTATGGACTAAAATGTGCTTTTTCAAATAACAAATACTTAAACACAACAAAACAAATATAATAAAAATATAGACAAAATTGCAAAAATGGTCCCTGTGGTATGCAAATTTTTGGAGTTTTAGTCTAAACCACGACTTTTTTGGATTCGAGGTCCTTTTGAGCTAGTTTCACTGCGTTTTTGGTCCCTCTGAATAGTGAAATGACTATAATACCCTTGGATTATTTCTTTTTCATTTTTCTTTCATTTCTTTTTAAATCTAATACTAATATATTTATTTTAATAATTAATAAATTAAGAAGGGGCCACCTTCTCTCTCTCTCTCTCTCTCTCCTCTCTCTCTCTCTCTCTCTCTCTTGAATAAAAAATTAACTTCGCCTCTCTGTTTCTCGCTCCCTGTATCTCACCCCACGAAGGATTTCATGGGCTTCGAATCGGTGAGTTTCAGAAGGCGATCGGAGATCGTGAAGGCAATCGAACCCCCACAGGTCCGATCAAAACCCTCATCCCCTAACCCTCTAGTTAAACCCCTTTTCGATTTAATGCCTCCCTCTTCTCTGTTCATTTTTTGTATCTAATCTCTTTTCATCTTGATTCAATGATCTGAGACGGTGGCGTTTTTTAGGATTGGAAGCAACGAGAAAGGAAATCAAGGTAGGTGGTTTTTCAGTTTGCTTCCTTGATGAATTTCATTGATGCTCAGTTTGAAAAACTTGATATGTTGGTAACGATCGTGAAGCCTCATTGTTCACTGAACCTCAAATGAAAAAAACTTTTTGTTTCATCTCCGTTTGATTTATGAAAAATCGTTGAAATCAAGTGAGGGTTTCTGTCAAGATTGCTTCCTCACCACCACCTCTAGCAAACTGAAGAGGGTAAATGTTTCTGTCAAGATGGCTCTAGTTGGTCGATTTCCATGTTTGATTTGGTCAAATTCTCTGTCCGATTTCACCTGGGTTTTCATTGATTTCATCTGGGTTGCATAGAGTTTAGTGGCAGATGGGTTACATCGAGCTTTCATTGACTGCACTAGGAAAGGAAAGGAAACAGAGGTGTTGCTCACCACTTTTCAATTGTCTTCCAATGTCTGATTTTCACAAAAAAATCCTTACAAACAAAAAGAATCTTAACTTTTATTCTTTAACTATTCTTCTTAGGATGGCAAAATTGGTTTATTGGTGAATTTTTAAGTGATTGTGGTGTATGAATTTTGATTATAACAGAGAATGGTCGTTTAGGTTTACGAGAGAGAGAGAGAGAGAGAGAGAGAGAGAGAGAGAGAGATGGGCCCCAAATTAGGTAATTATTTTATTTTTCATATAAATTAAATAGAAAAAGCATAAAAAAATATATCAGAAGGGTATAATAGTCTTTTCAGTTTATCGAGGGACCAAAAACGCATTGAAACTAGCTCAAAAGGACCACGAATCCAAAAAAGTCGTGGTTTAGACAAACCCCAAAAATTTGCATACCACATATACATTTTTGCAATTTTGTCAAATATATACATATGTGGTGTAGCAGCAGATTACTTTTTCACGCGAATTTATTGTCAGAAACAAACACATGCAATTTGTTGACTTTTTCATTATCTTTTTTTTATGTTCATTATTCCTCACGTACAATCCTATTGCAGAAAACAAGAATTGCAGAAAACCAGTAATAAAGCTAAAGAGAAAAACTTACTCTTCCCTCTTATCTCATCCACAAACAAAGCAAAAATAAAAAAATAAAAAACATTTTGTGTACCAGGCTGAGAGCTATTGTGCCAAGAAGCAGTAGATATAACTTTCCCTACAATGTCAACAAAAAAATATGTTACAACCGAATATGATCAGGGGTAAATTTGTAATATGACCTTGATTAGATGAAGATTAGACGCATGTCTTAAGAGCACAAAAGCAAATTCACCAATTTGCGCAAGTAACATTCCAATCACGTGCACAAGGAGTGGGATGAAAAGAACCCTCAGCTAACAACCTGCAATCAAAACACCAAAAACATAATCCAAGGAAGCACAGTCCCACAAGAAGTGGATACAGACAAAGAATTCGTCTTCACATACAATGTCACATTCAAAGATGGTACACTTATTTACTCATGAACGATGATCAAATCCACTGGTGTTCAATCATAAACTCCCTAATGATCGTCCTCTTCCTCTCCGGAATGGTAGCCATGATCATGATGCGCACTCTCTGCCGAGACATCAAAATAAACTGATTTATTTGTGGCGAGCCAAGGTTTATGCCATCAATTGTTTAGGGCTCTAGTTTCTAGGGATAATATTTGTATCATATAACTACTTAGAAGTTGAAAAACGAGGGGGCCATGGCCCTGTGCCGTTATTGAGTTCCGTCCGTAATCGTTATACTCAGATCTTAGAAAATGCACATGTATCATGTTATTAACCAGTAGTAATACTTAATAATCTAATATGAGAAGAAAAACAACACTCACAGAGCAATAGAATCATCGGAGATGTCAGAAGTGAGAACACTAGATGAACAAAGCATGATCACAACAGAGAGAAGAAACAGAAGCTCATGCTCAGCCTTCCTCTTCGGATGATTGATGTGATTCATCTCCACAGCTCCAAACACAACTTTGTAGAATGTGGAACCAATAATCCAACGACTTAACCAGAGACATTGACGACTTCAAGAACCAAACAAGCGGCTATCAATAACGCAACCACCGATGTATAGCACCACATCTGGTGGTCTTTAGCTTCAGATCTGGTGAAACCGGAGTTTCGGATCTGGTGACATCAGATCTGGTGGCTGGTGAAACGAGTTCGGAAAAGCTTTTAGTCAGGGAGGAGAGGCGGAGGAGGTGGATGGAGATAGTTAGGGAATAGGTAGTTCAGGAAGATAAGAGACGGAGAGAGCTGGTTTTCAACGGTGGGAGGTGGCTTTCGACCGGAGAAGTAAAGCTTAAGGGAGGTGGTGAACTAGCAGATCTTCAGCAAGCGAAGAGGCGGGGCTCTAGTTGTTCAGGTAGCGGCGCTCCGGTGGTTCAGGCAGTGGCGCTCTGATGGTTCAATGGTGGTTCAAAAAGAAGAAAGCGATTATTTCGTATATCAGTGGAGTGGGTGTGGGTGGGAGGATGTTTTTTATTTATTTAGTAATAATTTATAAAATTATAGTAAATAATAGTTTTTTTAATAAATTGAAATGTGTGGGGTTAATTTTTGTTCTAATTGTTCTCATTTTAACATTTCTTTTATTGCGAGAACATTTGATAACAAAATTTGATGAAACAATTTTTTTAAATTAAAATCATCATATAATATAAATATAAACCAAGAAATAAGTAAAAAAAAAAAAAGTCACTAACCAACACCACTCACCACCCAAACAATATCATCCACCACCACCACCCATCACTACTACCCACCATTATGACCACCACCTGTCATTACCACTACCCACCACCCATCACCACCTCCAACACCACCACCCGTCATTTCCACTAACCACCACGCACCACCCATCACCACCATCCGCCTCCACCACCCATCACCACCACCCACTTCCACCACCCCTACCACCACCACCCATCACCACCGACCAACACCACCTATCACTACTACCCGCCACCATTACCTCCACCCACCACCCATCACCACCACCCACTTCCACCACCTCACCCATCACCCACCAAAACCACTATACACCATCACCACCCTCACCACCAACCACCACCCACCCACCCACCACCACTACCTATCACCTCCACCACCCATCACCACCGCTCGCCACCGTCACTTGCCACCCACTATAATCACCACCCCACATGTCACCCCCACCACCCTTCACCACCATCACCGCCTACCACCACTAAACGTCACTACACACGACCACCACCCATCACCATCACCCATGATTATGTGTATATAATCACATGTGATTATTTGTATTTAATGACATATGATTTATATGGACAATATTCTTTTTTGTCCATATAAATCATGTGATTAGATACATATAATCACATGTGATTAGATATATTTAATCACATGTTATTAGATATATTTAATCACATATGTCGTGATTGCGTTCTCGATTCAATAATTATTTTTTGTCAACTTTAATCATATGTGATTAGATACATATAGTCACATGTGATTATATGTATCTAATCACATATGATTTATATGAACAATATTCATTTTTGAGTTTTCATTTCAGAATTGAATATCTTCAATCGGAGTTTACTGTTCATATTCAAGCATTCAGAATCGGAATTCAGTGGCACACATCGGAATTGGAGTTTCAAGCCTCAAAGCTTTCAAAATCGGTATTGGAAAACCTGCATTCGGAATTAAACAGGTCCCAGTTTCGGAAATTGATATCAGCATCTCCATCGGAAGGGTATTATCGTATCATTGGCAATCGGATGTCTTTGGATCGCTTTCGGAATTGAAGTTTGATCGGCGATTTTTCATCCAATAATCTGATTTTGACTTTTTTAAGTCAACAAACGTGTTTTTCCCGTTCCAGTGAAGAAGACGCTTCGACTTTAATTTACAGCCCTTAATCTTTCCACAAATGACGGTTTCTACCCCAGTTCACACAATTCTTTGCAGTTTCTTGGGTTTTTATCAAGTTTACCCCCTTCTTACCAAAATATTTTCATTTCCTATCCTTTTTTCTTTGGTCTTATTCTTTTTAAACCCTTCTAAATAATTGCTTCTAATTATATTCTTTTTGTCTAAAAAGGATTTATTTAATCAAATCTGACAGGTTTTGAAGATCTATTTTGGCAAACTCGCTCCTTATGACAGAGCTGGTTATACGACTTACTCAATGAGATAGTGAAGATTGTTGGTGATTCTTCTTAACTTTTCGGATTCTCTCCATGGTATTTGTTGAAGATTCAAGGGGGAGTTCGCATTTGGAAGATGTTATTTGTTTCTCTCGCTTTGAAGACCCCATGTACTGATGAGTCTCGCAATTTAGAGGGACAAATGCCAAGAAGATCGAAAACTGTGATCTTCATCAGTTTCAACATCTAGGGGGAGATTGTTGAGTATTTGAAACATTGAAACTGATTTGGCATTTTTGGTTATTTAGGGAAGCCTTTTTAGGGTTTTATATTTTTGGTAAATATTTTATGTTCCCTATAAATAATCATTAGGTTAGCTATTGATGTAAGCATTTTCCTGATTAGGGTTTTCTTTGTATGTTTATATCAATATCAATATACAAAAAAACCTTTGTCATATTACTTTCATATTATGGTGATTGATTCATGATTGTTCTTCAGATTTCGCATTCGTCATCTGTGACATCCCTAAAATCACGGCCAGAAAGGACCAATTTTATTTATGCTTTTAAAATATATTCAGAGTAATCCTTTGATTAAAACAGTTGCGGAATTTGTTCCCAAAACAAAATATGATAAAGTAAATTTATCAAAGCATTTCATCAAGAGATGCATTGTCATTATATAACAAAATTTGGGATGTCATGTTCCGATAAACAGACCAAGAGCATAAACAACACAAGATAGACCTTACAACAGTTACATATAACAACAGGTCTAAAATCAAAACATCTTGATAAGTCATCCAACTTATGCTCTCGCACCACTACCTGTAATACAACAAAACTGAGTGGGTCAGGCTTGGGAGCCTGGTGAGCATATAGGGTTTTCAACCCACAATAAATAATTATATTTAATTCACCAACCAACAATAACCCGATTACCCATTCCCGTTATCCTCACTTTATGTCCCTAAAACAACATCTATTACAAGGGACCTAATATAGGATTTTCATCGGGATGGACATTACTGCAAGGGGTTTCCTCAGCAATAAATGTCCTAAAGGCAACCATGAGGGGGATAGAGTACACCGGTGAACACATTGTTCACAAACACCTACAGGTTATGAGCCTGCTAGCGTTCCGCAGGACTGTCTAGAAAGAGTCTGTGGTCGTCATCCATACTCCGCTGGATAACTAGATCAACAACAACAACATCGAGGCCTCTCATCGTTTTATCACACATCAACTATCTACCCATGTTCTACCCAACATATTAGTAGATAACATATACATTTTTATACATACTTTAAAACCTGTATAGCATGTTCATTCAATACACATTCCAAATAACAGATGAGACACATGCACATAACACGTATTTCATAGAGAATAAATCATATCTATGAGTTAGAAGAAAGTGAATATACATTCACACATATAACAACAATATATACACATAACACATATTTCATATCAAATACTTCATAATTATGCGTTAGAAGAAAGTAACTACACACTCACTTGATAAGATGATTATCGGACCGCACTACGGCTCTTCAAGTAGTAACTCTTCGGTGAAACCGGGATCACTTCACACACCGGGTTTCTCATGGGCAGAGCTTCGGCTCGGAAACTCTTTTCTTCTCGGTATCTTCGGGTCTCGGGATGATATCGGGGCTTTGGGGGGTTAAAATAGGGCTTAGAGAGTGTATCGGGAGTGGGAGAGTAAGGGAGGAGCAACCAAAATCGACTGACCCTTGATTTCTATTTATAGGGTGAAATTTCTGCACTCACGTCGTGAGTTTTTAATGTTCACGTCGTGACCTCAGTAGGTCACTGCATGCGTCACTCGTCCACTTGCCCTGGAAGGCGTCAGGTCTGTGCTCACGTCGTGACCACTGTGCTCACGTCATGAGTTCTGACACAGCCTCAATTTTTGTGTTCCGAACTTCATAAATTCATATCTTTCGCATACGAGCTCCGTTTTCGACATTCTTTATATGCACACGTAGGTGAGATTATGCTCTACAACTCTCGTTTAGACTCCGTCGGCTGATTTCGACTTTATTTTTAATATATTATTAATATATCATTTTTAGTTGGCCGGGACAGGAAAACTCCGTTAGAAACTCATAACTTCTTCATCCGACGTCCATTTTCGTCTGTCTTTTTATCGTTGCACTACTATTAACAAAGATCTTCGATTCCCGTTTAAAATTGTTTCGACTAAAAATCACTCGATCTCATATTCGAGTTTCGGGCTACATACCGCTAAGTTGAAACTTAGAAAAATCTTAACTTCCTCATACGAAGTCAGATTTGGGCATTCTTTTTATGCATGCTCTCGGTTTAACGAACTCTACGACTTTCGTTTAGATCACTAAGGCTAAATATCGCTCCATCGTAAATTCACTTTTTACGTCATTCAGCGTCGTGCCGGTTCTGTCGCGAAACTTCGACAGATCATAACTTCTTCGTTATAACTCGGATTTTGGCATTCTTTATATATTCGGAATCCTTGTTTAAACCACTACAACGTTATCCTTAGATATCGATTTTATCTAACAATTCATTTTGACGCTTATTTTTATCCTTAATTCAATTAAGACATACAATACCCAAATAATACACTTCTATTATTCAAAACGGGTTACAAAGATTAACCTAGACTATTACATCAACATTAATGACGAGCCCAGAAACACAGGCGTTACATCATCTCGTCATTATTCCCAACAAGTTCACATATTTCTCGCCTATGTTGCTCACAAAAGCTTTGAAGTATATCAAATGGATATGAAGTGTGTATTTCTGAACGGAGGAATTGAAGAAATAGTCTACGTTGAACAACCTCCAGGTTTTGTGAATGAAAAATTTCTGAATCACTGTTATATTTTGGACAAAGTTGTATATGGTCTTAAACAAGCTCCACGGGCATGGTATGAAACTCTAACTCGTTTTATAAAACAGCCTAAATTCAAACATGGTTGTTTGATCCTACCTTCTTTCGGAAGAAGGAGGGTGACCATTTAATGATAGTTCAGATTTATGTTGATGACATTATTTTTGGGTCCACTAATCCTAGCATGACTGCTGAATTCCAAAAATTAATGGAAACAAAATTTGAAATGAGTTATATGGGTAAAATTAACTTTTTCCTTGGTTTAAATATAAGACATAGTTCGGACGGAATATTCATTAATCAAGAAGCGTTCACAAAGTCGTTATTGGCCAAATTCGGAATGGTGGGTGATTCAAAAGTCAAAGTCCCTATGGCGTTCGGAACAAAACTCATTGTAACGCCCGTAGATCCGAGCTAGTCAATTTAGAGATAATAG